GGGCTCAAACCCACAAACCGTGAGATCATGACTTGAGCTGAAATTGGACGCCCAGCCAACTGAGCCACCCAGGTGCCCAGACTGCTGTGTATTATTATGCAAACATATGTATCAGGATAAAAGAAAATAAACCATACAGCTTGGCGTGGACCACACCGGTGTGCTACAGACTGCGTGCCAATGGGTGTGTGGTACAGTGAGTCTGACTGCACTGGGTTCAAACCCCAGCCCTTCTACTTAGATAGGATTGGGTAAACTATTTAATGTCTCTGAGATCAATTATAAAATGGTGAAACTATTAACTTTCTTAGATTGATGATTAAATATAAACCATATACCAAATATGAAATAAAAACAGAGTCTTTCTTTGCTTCTAGGAGATGATAAAAGATAACGCCCTTTCTTGTTCTTTCTCTTTTAAGTGCTCAGAGAGGGAAAGACAATGAGTCAAATGTGTATTAAAATTTCTTCAGTGCCTGGGTGGTTCAGTCGGTTGGGCATCTGACTTCGGCTTGGGTCATGATCTCACAGTTATGGGTTTGAGCCCTGCGTTGGGCTCTGTGCTGACAGCTTGGAGCTTGGAGCTTGCTTTGGATTCTGTGTCCCTCTCTCTCTACCCCTTCTGCCACTCGTGCTCTGTTTGTCCCTCTCTCAAAAATAAATAAACATTAAGAAATTAAAAAAAATCTGCCCACTGAAGAGTATACTCATGGTATATAAATAAAAAAAGCAGCAACCTAAAGTGTATATAGAATACATTTTTGATTATGTTACAATATTTATTGAATAGAGTAAATAACTTTGTCTTCTTCTGTTTGCAAAATTATATATAAGCAGCATATCCTCTTTCTTGTCAGAAAAGTTAATAGATGGTATTGAAACTGCTGTAAACAGAGATTCTGAACATGATAGCACATGATGTCAGACAAGGTGGGCATCAGAGGAGAGAAATGAAATGGGGAGGGCTGGGGGCGTGCACTGTACCTCAGACCACACTCCTGCCTCCCATACGGTCATGCAGTCCTGACCCTCACAGCGCTGGGTGGAGGCAGGCTTAGGCCCGGAGCAGTCCCTCTCCCGGGCTCTGATCAGAGTCCCATTGCTCAACTGTTGGGTACAGGCCACCTGTCTGCTCTGCATCCCTTTTCCACAAGTTCGTGAACAGGGGGTCCATTCCGTCATCATCCATCTAAAAGTAAAGCAAGAACCACTGAAACAAGTTAAAAGATATCAACCCATGGTGTAGTTTGACATGTCTGAAATTAGAATCGTGGCACAGTGACTTTTTTTTTCTTAATTAATATAGCATTGTCTAAAACACCTGTGCTTTCTATCATTTTGAATTCTCCTTATTTCCTATCTCAGGGCCTTGTTCTTGTTTGTTTGTTTGTTTGTTTGTTTAGAGAGCAGGCAAGGGGCAGAGAAGGAGGGAGAGAGAGAATCCCAAGTAGGCCCTGCACTGTCAGCACAGAGCCCAATGTGGGCTCAAACTCACCAACTGTGAAATGGTGACCTGAGCCGAAATCAAGTCAGATGCTTAACAGACCGAGCCACCCGAGCGCCCCCCTTAGGGCCTTGTGCGTCTTGGAATCTCAAAGAATGAGATTCTGTCCACACCATAGTACGTGCTTTACCTGTGGCTGCTTATCATATTGGCACACTGAGATACCTTCTAAGTGTACAATTGCTAAGATACATGGGTTATTCCTGTTCTTCATGTTTTGAATCTTCACAACAACTCCATGTGTTAAGTACGACAACTATCGTGGAGAGGGAAACCACGGCAAGGAGAGATTTAGCAACTTACCAAGGGTCACGAGGTTGTAAAGTAAGAAATTGGAAGTGAGGTTGTACAAGGACCTCACAAGGAGACACATGCAGGTATTAGCAAGGTAACAGAACCCTGTCACTGAGAATGCCCTCTTACCTGGGGGAAGCAATCATTAGTACATTATGCCTAGTACTGCAACAAGATTTCTGTGCCTGGGACATACCTTCCAGATAAAGCTATGTGTGCTTCCTCAGGCTAGCCTCTATGTACTTGCAATGTAATCACAGACACAGGAGTGACTGGCTCAGAGTGCTATGCGTCAAGTGACCTTATTGTGAAAGGTCCTCAAGAACTCCAACTGTTATTCTTGGATTTCACGGATTCAGTGATTCAGCCCACACACATGTAGTTTAATACCTAGATGGACATCCTTTACCCAACCACGAGGGCAGTGATACATATCTATGGCACTTCCTTTTCTAATGAATTCGGATCTAACCTAGGACCACTAATTTAAACACATCCCCAAATTTATTTCAGGAAGAAGCAAGGCCTATGCCTGAAAAGTGATTCATAAAATTTGTATGATTCTAGTCAATATATGATTCTCATCAATAAAACCCTCTCTGTATTTCCCATCATTAGGACAACCTCCCAGGGGGATCTAAATCCCCCCCCTAAACTATCTGCACGATCCTATTTCGTCGCAGTGAAGGGCAGTCAGAAGCCCTGAGCTTAATTCGGGGTTCGTACTAGCTGTGCACATTCTTGAAACAATACTTAACAGCTGTTAAGTTTCCATTCTGTCATTTTGTAAAAGGGTTTATTATTATACTGTCTGACATACAATAGGGACTCAGGATATAGTATATACTATATATATTACCATATATTTGTAAGTGATTTATACTTACTCATTTCTCTAGCTTCTTCTCTCATTTGTTTGGAAAATAAAGCATATGCTTAGTTTGCTCCCCAAACACTTTCTATTTTCTCCACATGGTACCTGTGTATGGAGCATCCACTGCCTGGATCCTTGACAGCCAGGTCCAAGTCCCTTCCTCCCAAAAGAGCTTCTCCACCCAACCCACAATGATTGTGCTCTCCTCTGCCCTCTGGCATTTGGCTTGTGGCACTCAGCACTTGTTAAATATTCCCTAGCAAGGTGGAGGGGCTCACAGCCCCCCTACAAAAGTTGACCTTTTCCTGATTAGGATATAAGCTCTTTAGGGCTGCCTGGGTGGCTCGGTCGGTTAAGCATCAGACTTAGGCTCAGGTCATGATCTTGAGGCTCATGAGTTTGAGTCCCACAGTGGGCTCTGTGCTGACAGCCTGCTTCAGATTCTGTCTCCCTCTTTCTCTACCTTGCCCCTGCTCGCACTGTCTCTCTTTCGCACTGTCAAAAATAAATAAACACTAAAAAATTTTTTTAAAAAAGTTTAAAGAATTAAAAAAAGGATATAACTCTTTAAAGGCAGAGATCAACATCTTATTCTCCTTTGTATCCATAACACTTTGCACACAACAGCCTGTCATTAAACATTTCTCGATTTGGAATTTGTGTCTGTGTTTTACAGAAATAGCATCAATTCTTCCTAATTTACTTAAGCCTAAATGCCCCTGGCAATGATTCAAAGTTTGGGAAGTCCCATCCTCATGTAATCTAGTTTTCTCATCTGTACAATGGATTTAGTTCTAAATGATTCTATGCTTCTATTTCTAAAAAAAAAAAAAAAAAAAAAAAAAAAAAATCACGATAACATTTACATTGCAATATTGCCTCTAACAATGTTCTTGTCTGCAAATCTATCAGATATGATGCAGATCTACCATTTTGCTTCGGAGTCCCCTAGTGGATTGTTCCTAATGTATTTATCTTCCAAATTTATTTAGTTTCCTGCTTCACCTTTTTACATGAGGATACCTGGGTTATAATTAAATTTAAACCCACGTATGCACCTTTCCCTTCAACTATGGGACCTAGAAGACACTACCGAAAAGAGAAGTATCTGCAATTTCATGGGAGATCATGTTCTTTTAATGTTTCTTTAAATTTACTTTTGAGAGAGTGTGAGCAAGGGAGGGGCAGAGAGAGGGGGACAGAGGATCCGAAGCAGATTCTGCGCTGAGAGCAGCAAGCCTGATGCAGGGCTTGAACTCACAAACCAAACCATGAGATCATGACCTGAGCTGAAGTCAGATGTTCAACTGACTGAGACACCTAGGCACCCCTGGAATCTCATGTTTTTTAAATAAAATACATTTGAGATATCCTTAGTATAATGGTAAAAGTTACTTTTTCCATTCCTTGTGAAAACTGCTCAAAAATAAGAATTAAAGTGTAAAACATATTCTAATAAGAGAAAAAATGCTTTATATTTTGGAATTGATTTGGAGTTATCCCATTTCCTTATCTTTAAGATTCCCTCTTGTATTTATTTACCCAAGGGATACAGGAGTACTGATGCATAGGGGCACTTGTACCCCAATGTTTATAGCAGCACTCTCAACAATAGCCAAATTATGGAAAGAGCCTAAATGTCCATCAACTGATGAATGGATAAAGAAATTGCGGTTTATATACACAATGGAGTACTACGTGGCAATGAGAAAGAATGAAATATGGCCCTTTGTAGCAACGTGGATGGAACT